TCCCACAGCTTTTTTTTGTTTCTTAAAAAATTTAACAAGCTAGCTCTAAAATATACATGGAAATATGAAGAACACAAAATAACACGAGCAACTTTTCAACAGAAGGACAAACTTAGAAGACTTATACTACCCGATTTCAAAATGTACTACAACTATAGTGGTAAATAATATATTTGATCCTAAGTTGAGATTAATAGCACATAATAATAGAGTTCAAAAAGACACACTTATAGGATCAACTGATTTGGAGTAACTGTGGCAAGGCAATTAACTGAGGAAATGATAACTTTTTAACAAATGATACTGGAACTTGACTACCACATGCAAGGTAAGGAATACCTTACATAATATATTAAAAACATTAGATCAAAATGGATCACAGGCTTAAATATAAGAGCCAAAACTATAAAATTTCTAGAAAAAAAAAGATTTTAGCAATCTTAGGTTTGACAAAAATTTCTTAAATATGACCAATACTCACTAGTATTCTATGAAAAACTAAATACATACCATTTCTTGGTCTTTTCACCATGGATGATTTCCTTGAAAGATTTAATCCTTTAGTACTAATCACTTGTTTAATGCCCACAGTACTTGGATTTTCCTTCAATTGTGTAGCACCTGAAACATTATCCAACTCAAGTCTAGGGCAATAATTCCTATGCCAGATGCTATTAACAGTAGAAGACTTTTGACAAGTTTTGTTGTTCCAACTATGACTTCTTGATAGGTCAGACTACAAAAGAAAAAGGTTACTTGAAGAAGAAAGATAATCAATTCTTTTCCCTCTGTAACGATATAGATTAGAATTAAATAAATTATCCTTAAAAAGATCAGCTTTGAAGTATCTGTCCCTTAACAACATTTTATACTTTTAGCTAGCCCTATATTTTCTATAAATGTGTCTTGTGTTCCCAGGTCGGTGTTTCTTCTAATGAGACTTAAGCCATTCTACTGACTCACTTGTAAGAAATAAAAAACAAAATTTCCTAAGATGAACAGTGTAAGAAATGAGATTGCAATTGACAAAGTGTGGTTAGGAAAAAAGTCACCTTTAAATTGGAACACTATTTCAATACACAATAGTAATTAGTTAAATAATTAACTGGCAATATGTCTACAAATAATCATATACGTAACCTTTAAAATGCACCTGATCATAAAATCATGTACTTTAATGTAATCAAGTATCCTACCTTAAGAACATGGCTGAGTTCAACCCAAAACATGTGAAGGTTATATAACATTAGTTTCTATTAGATCCACACCAGATGCCATCTTTAGTGGACAATGGTGAGAAATAAAAAGTTACTGTGGTCTACAATGAGAGTTTTAGAGAAAGGGCATGGCTTGATGCCAGTTGGTATTGGCAATCACTTTTAATGCCAATATGAATTCTTCCCAATTATGACACATTTTCAAAGACAATGATCTGCTAAAAGGATGTCAATGATAGTCTTATTTAAAAACGGACAGGTAAAGTGTGTGTGTGTGGGGTGGGGGGAGTAGGAGATACAACAAAAAAATGTCAACTGGGAGGCATGAATCCCAGGTGATAAATTCCCATATAAACTAAAATCTAAATTTTGCACTTAAATAAAAAGGAAAATAACTATAAATCAACCAAGATGACATTAATCAGGATATTGAGAATTAACAAGGAATATAACTTAATTAAGGGAATGAGTATTAAAAATTATTTTAGCAGTATTGTTCCAGGAATTATATCCCACTGATGGTTTTATTGAAAAAGTAGAAATAGGTGAGCAGAAAATCAGACAGGGAAGAATAAATTT